ATATTTCAATTTACTAGAAGCTAACAATGAATAATAACACTTCACATTTTAACCAATGCTTTTCTGAAGTGTGAGGAAGAACTGAGTCAACAGATGATCGCTGAAGCTGAGTCATAGAGTTCATCGATACAATGAAATAAAACCTAATGATTAGTACTTACATAGTAATGCATTATTAACACGGCCATCTGAGTGAGTCCAAGAAACAAAATGCAAAAGCATAAAGTGAATGAGTACCCACTTTAAATCGAGATAATACATTGAGAAACAGAATCAGTATGAAACTTGTGTTCCATGTATTCGGTCTTTTAAAACCTATCAAAAGACAAATATCAAGCAATAGCTCTGAACAGGCACACGAGACCCTAATAGTTTCAAGTCTTGGTGATGATAAGGAATGGTGGAGTTGATTTGCAGCCTTGGTGATATTCTGTTAAAGCAAATTTATAAATTGCAAGATTTTTCCTGATGCTCCCTTACCTACAGCTTGCACCATGTGTAGCTTCTTTGGACAAATCACTTACCTGACTAAGCCTGAGCTTTCTTATGTATAAAATGAGGATAATTGTTCTCACCTATGAGAGTTTTTAGAGGGCAGAATAGAGGTTGAGTTTACAGAATGCACAGCACATACTTCCCTATTAAGTCCCCGATAAAGATAGGTGATCACTACAATAATTACTGTTATTCACATGCCATGGATTCCTGTCTGTTCCTAAGGATTCTCTTCATTTGATCTTGAAGTGGTCTTCTGGCATTAACATCACGTTCATGACATTAACATAAAGCAATGACAGGATCCACGACAATGACATTCTGTCCGTTCTGCAGTCAGATGAGGGAAAACAAAGTTACTGGACTGCATTTTTCACCACTGATTGGCTTGTGCCATAGTTAACCACTTATAAATCACTACTGTGTGTTGAGTTTCACTGGCCACTGCTTTCAAAAGGTGTTCCTCTCAGCCAGGGGTCTTTGTTGCTGTTGATGGGAGAGTATCTTGGGAGGGTGAGTAAGGAAGACACTTTGAACTCACCACAGCAGCTTGATTTGCTTTATCCACATTATAAATTGAGGCTTCTATAATATTTCATTTGGAAGAAATGGTTCCTGTCTCTGAGGAATTTACATTTTAGTGAGGAAGATAGGCCCCAAACAAAACCAGATAATCAAGATAAAGATTTTCATGAAGGGCTTTGGAAGGTTGGAGGAAGACTCAAATAATTCTGCCTTGGGAAATGAGGAAACTTCTCATTCAAGTGATAACATCTGAACTGGTTCTTGGATGATGAAAGAATGTGTCCGTGTTAATGGCAGAAGGGAGTCCGGGAAGAGAGAAAAGCGTGAGAGAAAACATTGGAACGTGAGTGCTGGCTGGGTTGGAGAAGTTTTTCATGAGCAGAATTAACAGGACTGAAATGAATTGCAGGTATAGGATTGAAGGTGAAATAGATGATAGTGAGATCTCTCATTTGAAAGACTAGGTGAATGAGATCACCCAAGGATGTTGGAAAAAAAAAAAAAAAGCCCCAAATGGAACAGGGTTAAAAATGTAATCCTGGATCCTCTACCACTTGAGGGGAGGAAAGACAATGAAAGAGGAGGACCAGTCAATGAGAGTGTAGGGGTGAGTAGAGAAGGAAGAGGAGAAAAAGCAGAGTCCTGGAAATCAAGAGTTTCAGATGATGGTGGCTGGTAGTGATAATGATACCAAAATATCTGACTGAGTGAAGGTGGATCATAACCTTCATAACTGTGCATCAGGAAGTGCCTGGGGACTTAATGTGAACACAACTTTAATGGCGCATGCAGGATGGAAATCAGGGAGGAAGGAGTCAAGTCGTTAATGGGAATTGAAGAAATAGATATCAGGAGCAAGGTTATGTTTTTCAGTAAATTTTGGGGTAGATATGAAGGAAGAAGATACAGTGGTAGTTTGACAGAGAGGTAAGGTAAGGAGAAGAAAATTTTAGTGTAGGAAGGAAGAAAATGGAACATTTCCTGAGCACTTACTGTGTGCTGAATTTTTACTAGGCACTTTCAGATAGGAGAACCTTGAGCATATGTGTGGACCAAAAGGAATGAAGGAGTGAGAAAGTGAAATTATAGAAGTTATTAAAGAACGGAAAAGGGAAATTGGAGGTGCTAATGGGGAAAGGAAACCCCATGAGGGGATTCACCTTTGTTAGATCAGGCATCATTGGAATGGGTTTAGAGAGTGGGATGTGCTTATACTGGGCTGCAAAGTTTCTGGTATTTTTATAATTTGGGTTTCTGTCTGACCTGAATAGAGGGCTTTTCTAAAATGGAAATCGATTTGTTAAAATGACAGCTTGAGTGTAATACTAGCTAACATTTATAGAATGCTTACTCTGTGCCAGATACTCTGTGCAGCCCTTTATATGCATTGCTCCCTTTACCCAACAACCCTGTGGTGGAGATATTATCTTTGTCCCTATTTTATACAGGAAGAAACTGATACACAGAAAGATTAACAGAGCTGGTATATGGTAGAGCTTAGATTTGAACCCACGTAGTCAGTGTTCAGAGCTTGTGTTTTTAATCCCTCTGTGAAATGGTCTATCCAATAGTATTTCTGCACGAATTACACAATTACCCTTAGTCCACTCTTATTCTGGACTAAGGGACAGGTTCTGGCTATTTGGTTTTCTGCCATGCTCAAGGAAAGGTGCACTCTACTTCAAGAATCTCATGAATATCAAAACCTTAATCACAGCTATTCGGATGACACGAGTTCACGCTTTACAAACCAACCAGGGCCCTAATCATATTAAAATCAAAGTTGCAAAATAAAGAAACGTTCCGAAAAACCTTGTCTGCTTCATTTAGATAACAGTGTGCAGAATGAGTTGAAAGATAAAAATGCTCAGCATTTACCATTTCCTTTTCTTTCCTTTTTTAAGCCCCATGGTGTTAGGGATGATATCATCAGGCAATTTGGTTTGAATATGTTCTGTGCTGGACTGTGCAGATTACCCAACTAATGACATGCATGCTCCTTGCCATTATGACACCTCTCTTCTCACAAGTGGGAATTTCAAGTGACAGACTAAAGCTGTTTGCTATCAATTTTGCAAAAAACCCCCCACATCTGCCAGATAGCCAAGATTTAGTTCAGAGACTGAAATCAATTAATATTCTAATTTGTTACCCATCATTAGCGTCATGTTATATTATGGCAAGTCAAGAGTGATAACCTTTATATAACATAGGCTCCTAAAGGAATTTGATTTGGGGGATATGCTTTATTTGTGTTTAGTGTTGCTCCTGGCACATACATCCCATTGGAAATTTCAGTTACACAGACAGTAAAAATGATGATGGATTAAAACGAAATATGTCTCCTCTAGATTATGGATCTTCCTGCTGAGAATGGTAATTACTGGCAACTACGCTGAGAGTCTCTCAGATGAACTTGAATTTGTTGAAAGTAGGCAGGTCAACAAATTGTTAGTCACTAAGGGACAAGAAATTGATTCCGTGTATTTTTTTTTTTTCCCTGCTTGGTTTCTCAATGTCCTTATAGAATAGTTTTCTTATAAATTGATAAATCTCTCATCTGGATTACTACAACGTCCTGCTCTATCTTCTGCCCTTGCCTTTCTAGAGCCCATTTTCAACACAGTTGCTAGAGTGATCTTTAAAAAAACCTGAGTCAGATCATGGGACACCTCTGCTCAAAACTCTCCAAAGCCATTTTATTTCACTCATAGTAAAATCCAAGTTCCTTAGAGTAATGCCCAAGGCCTCACATGATAGGGCATGTGCTACAGTGTGAAGTTACCTTCTGCCACCCTCTACCTCATTCATTCTACATAAGGCTCGTGGGGCTCCTTGCTGTTCCAAGCAGATTTTTGCCTAAGGGGCTTTGTCTGAAATTCCCAGGTTTTAAAACTTCCTCCTCCACCTACTCCAGGGTTCCTTGCAAAAGAAACCAGCCCTGGTCATCCTAAAAAAATAATGTTTTACCCGCTATGCCCTTCCATATTCCATTCACTCTTCTTTAGTTTCTCTTTTTTTAAAAAAAATTTGTATTTAAATTCAATTAATTAACATATAATGTATTACTAGTTTCAGAGGTAGAGGTCTGTGATTCATCAGACTTATATAACACCCAGTGTTCATTATATCACGTGCCCTCCTTAATGTCCATCATGCAGTGACCCCATCCCCTGCCCCCCGCCCCTCCAGCAACCCTCAGTTTGTTTCCTATGATTAAGAATCTCTTATGGTTTATCTCCCTCTCTGATTTCGTCTTTAGTTTCTCTTATATCATTTCTTACCACGTGACTTACTGTATATATTTGCATCTTTATTGATTTATTTCTTCTTTTCTCACTAGAATATAAACCTTGTGAGGCCCCAAACGTATTTTTCTTGCATCTGAAAAGCTCTCTAGTTCATCAGACGTGTTCAAATCTGAATAAACAGACCAACCTATGGTTTCAGATTTAAAGGCCACTGATAGAACCCAGTGCTGCGTTCATACACATACACTTCGGTACAGTGGTGGTTGTCCTGATGAGGACAAAGAAAAATTTAAAAATTGTGCAGAAGATTTTGAAATAATAAACGAAGGGAAATCAAACTTGCAATATCTGGAAAGTACACTTTAGCTATTGCTTAGGAATCATCCTTACAATGGAATAATTTCATGAATACAAATTTAATATATATACGGCACAACCCATAAACATGAATATTCTAGAGAAAAGCAGACATTGAAAAAAAATACCTACCTGCATTAAACACAAGATACAATTTGTTTTTTATAAACTGGGCTTTGATGTATAAAGCATATTTAAAGATTTAAATTCCATTTCTAATTTTCCATTTTATTATTGAAATGCTACCATGCCAAGAATAAAAAATCGTATGTTTATAGTATGTTAAGAGAACTGCTTTTTTCCCCCGTGGGTAAGGTCATTTTCAAGCATTTGTTTTTACCCTACCAACCAACCATATGTAGTAGTACTCACATGGAATTTTATGCAGCTCATTCATAAACTTCTCCTTCAGCTTAGAAAAGGCATCTTCCTTTCCTTCCCCGGGACCGGCCGGCTCTGTGGCGTTATGTGGGAGAACTGTTGCAACAGTCGTGACTGGCGGGGCGGCCAGCGCCTCGTGATGACTCTCGCTCACCATTTTAAGTTCAGGTGAATCTGAGAGGGGAGGGAAGCAAAACAAATAAATGAAGAAGAGAACAATTCAAAACGGCTTAACTGATCCCACAGCAAAGGTACACCAGAGATGAAACACATCAGAAGGTGCACCTGCTCACTGGGTAAATAGTCTATCATTAGCATATTACTTTACGTCGGTTCATAAAGTATTTATGGAACCACCATGGAGAGTCTTTCCCAGAAGGTAAGATCAGGCGTACTTACTGAAAACATTCTCCTAACAATAATAGGTGAGCTGTCAAATCTATTAGTTGTTTATACTGCCAATTATTTACTGTGCAGATTTAACTTCTAATCCATATATTACAGAACTGTGGATGAAACATTTGCTGACAACATACATGCTCTATGCTCTCAGCATTTGTATTTTATAAGAGGAAAGAAAGATAAACTATTTATATTGAAAATGTTGATGAATGATAGCATGCATTCAAAATATTAGTGCCTTTTAAGATGGTTGTAAGCGATGCCATTACAACATTCATCCTGTAAAAGGTGTCATGAGTGTCAAAGAGAAGTTAGTTCTTGAATCTCATTTACTGGTGGTCCATTTTTCTCCCAATCGTTTTTTTGTTTTTTTGACCTTTACTGTGGACAATACTGTGATCAATAATTCACTTGTCTTGCTGGGTCAATGTTTGAAGCCATGGTAGATGTGGCGTGAGTGACCATATGTATCAAGGAACTGATGAGGAAACATGTCCGTCAAATTATTTCAGTGTATTCAACTTGATTATATTATTGAATTCTATTAAATTATTCAACGACTTTAAGTGTTCGTTTACCTCCAAAGCGTTAAAAAAACAATCTATAAGGTAACCAATGAAAAAACCTTAGCCTTGAATTCAGAAGACCTCAGTTCTAGTCCTCTTCATAGCTAAATGAATTCTGACAAGGCATTTGACCTCTTCATTTATCTGCCTTCAGAAATACGAAGAATGAAATCTGCCCTGCTTAGATTTTTCTTAGTACATGTGTAGTGCTCTATAAATGTAAAGAAGGCCTTCTAAAGAGATAGGCTTGAAGTCCTATTCTCCAATCTAAACATATTCTGGACTTTCATAATTAATTTTACTGTGTGACTTAAGATTTCAGGCAGTGCTGGCAAGAAAGGGGACAGGATTTGGGGCAGAAATAGATAAATACAAACATGTCTGGGCAAAAGTAACTTCATAGTCTCAGCAGGAAAGTTGATGGACCTATAGAGCCCTTTTGATTTGCAAAGAAATGGAGGTAACCAGCGAACAGACACGGGATTTTTATAAAATTAAAATCTTTTGTGAATTAATTATGCATACTTAAAATATTTAGTGGAAGTATGATTGAAAGCAGAATAATCTCAGATGTATGGAATTATTATTAGAATCTGAATCAAAATCCAGAGATTTTTGGATCCCCTGAAAGGAGAGGATGCCTGGAGCTAATACATACACACAGATAATCAATTTTCATTTTATAATATGTTCTCTTTTTAAAGCTTTTAATTTTCCACTAGTAGCTACTAATAAAACCTGAAAGGGGAGAATCAGACAGATGTAGACTCAGATCTTCTCTGTTCTTCATTCATAAAGTGAAGAATAATCATACCAAAGATGTAAGATTTTTGAGTATGCAATGAGATAATCTATGCAATGAATTTAGCACTCTAGCAATTGATCAGTCAGTCGATCCTTCAGTCCTCCTGCCTCCCCTCCTTAGGAATACTTGGCAACCCAGAATTTTCCAGATTGTGGAAAATTGTATTTTTCCAACTCAAGGTCACTTTCTAAAAGGTTTTCTTGATTTTTTTATTCTGTTTAGCTTAGGATCTGTCTTCCTGCAAAAAACTGGAGTCCTGTTTGCATAACTTAGGTGAAACTTCGATACGGATAATACCGTAACTTTTACATTTCGTATGCGTCGGCGGGACTAAAATTATATACAGATACATACACAAACACATACATATGTATGGAATATTAGTATGTATGTATTCAAAAACTGAATTGGGTCCTCTGCTGTGAGAATCACCAGATATGATAGGCATTATTACTTATCTCCACAGGGTGGTTGAGGATATTTGAGGGATCGTGGTTTACTGTAGGATTTAAAAGAAATTATTGCATTAAATACAAATACCTGTATACAACAGTGCCATCATTAAATTAAAAGCATGTTGTCTATGTTTTAACTCAATTTTTGTCATATTATGGAAGTGAGACACTTGCTAGTTACCTGCACTGATCAGCTGCAGCCTCAGAATGGCCACACGGTTGTTTCTAGCCTTTATGCACACGGATGGTTCAGTCCTTTGACCCTCAGGTTGTTAAATATTTTCACGTTACCCCAGCTTATAATGGAATATAAAACATTTCTACATACAAGTTGAATGATTTGAAAGGCTATTTAAAAAAGACTTCTCTTCAGTAGCGTCAACATCTAGAAGATGGACTTGAATATATTTTTTTAAAGAGGCAACAAATGTTTCTATAATTTCCAAAAACAATCCTCTTCCGATATAAGCTGTGCTTTACAAGTGTTTTATCAAAACAGGTAAAAGCTACACACTTTTAGCTGTTACTAGTCAATGATATTATCTGTATCATTTCTGATATTTTTAAATCAAGGAAAGATTATAAATACAGAGACAGTGCTCCTTTTACTTAATGTATACCACTGTGAAATTAAAGTCTTTCATAAACAACAAAAATATAATGGGCAATTAAGGATCTAATATACTGACAAAGAAAGACTAATTGTTTGCTTAATATTTTCTTCTTTGTCTTTCATATTTTGAGAGATGATGCTGTTTGTAAATAGCAAAACTAAGAACAGTGACATGGCCCTTGAACTTATGTTTGTGGAAATAAGATGCTGATTTCTAATTTTCCATCACTTCGTAGATGGAAAAACTAATTATTCGGTTCTGCCTAATGTGATAACCTTACATTCTTTTATGTAGCATTGTTTGCTTATTCAGAAAAAGTTTATATTCTACTCAAGTCTTGATAAAATAACAGCCAAAAGTTATTGATACCCGCTAAGTGGTATAGATATATGAAAACCTACAGTTCCCACGTCACTCCTGTGAGAGGTGTAATCATCACCCATTTAACGGTGAGGAGACTAAGGTATACAGAGGTTATGCAGTTGGTCCAAAGTACTACAGTAGTAATTAGTAGAGTTGGGATTTGAACCTAGATGTCTCAGCCACTATAGTGTTAGGGACTGTGAGACAAGTGTCCAATAAAATTGTGGTTTTTTTTTTTTTTTTTTTTTAAAAGATTTTATTTATTTATTTGAGAGAGAGAGACTGAGAGAGAGAGAGCATGAGAGGGGGGAGGGTCGGGAGGGTCAGAGGGAGAAGCAGACTCCCCGCCGAGCAGGGAGCCTGATGCGGGACTCGATCCAGGGACTCCAGGATCATGACCTGAGCCGAAGGCAGTCGCTTAACCAACTGAGCCACCCAGGCGTCCCTAAAATTGTGGTTTTTGAAGAAGTTTTTGACTGTAACCCATAGTAAGAAGTACATTTTACATCATGCGCCAGCATACAGGCTCTCGCCTCCTAGATGTTCTATATGGAACAAAAGCTCGGCAGAAAAACACTTGTCTTCACTATGTGTGAAATATTCCTATATATTTAATTCTGTCCTTTTTCACTAAAAAATTCTAGTTGTACCTCCAGATTGGATACATTGGTTTCACAATCCTCCAATGGTTTGAGACCCACAGTTTGGAAAACCACTATAGAAAGGGACAAGGGAAGATACAATAAAACTAATGGAGCTAATGAAAACTAAAGATGCCACTTATTAAGCCACTGTATGCCAAAATACTGTCCTTGTCTAATCGCAACCTTGAAAGGCAACTCGGTCCCAGTTTACAGGATAAACTGGGTTGCGGAGAGGTTAAGTGATTTGTCCAACAAAGATTTAGCCTAATTCAAGGTTCTTTCTACTAGTCTCCTCTCATAATAACACTTATGTATTATTAAACAATTAAATCAGTATTGGAAAGATAGTTATGCTTTTATTTTGAATTTGTTTACGAGTAAATGGAAAACACAAGTCCTCTTGCCAATGGGAAACAGATTGCTTAATTTTAGAGGTGTAGTCATTTAATTGGTAAAGTGAATTTGGCATCCTGAGGTAGGTCAAGAGAAATAATATTGAATAGAAAAGTAAATTCCCTTCTAAGAGAAAGTTCAGTATGAACGACATGAGCAAACAATTCTCAAAGAAAGAAATACACATCCCTCCTGACAGATAAAAGGTGTTTAATTTCACAAATAGCCCAAAACCTGAAAGTTAAAATAACAACGAGCTAATATATATTCATTTGTAAATGCGACTAAATGTAGATATGAAGGGGAGTGTTCAGAAGTGAGCAATTGGGAAAAACCATAGAGTAGAAAAATACTTTATGGTGGCCAAAGTAACAGAACATATAAAAGACTATAGAAATGCTCATTCTTTTTTCTAGGAATTCACAATAAAGAATCTGAGGTGTACAAACAATTTAAGGATGTTTATTGTAACTCTTTTGTCATATTAGAAGAGCAGAAACTAACAGAGACTTTTTAAATTGTGGTAAACCATAAAATAAAGTTACTAAAATTATCTTAGTAGATATTTACAAACTTAGAAATACATTTGTGTTAGATGAAAAAAACAAAGTATGAAGCATTAAATAAAGTATGTCCAATTTTTCTAAATAAAAAACTCTTGTATAAAAGAGGCTGGAAAGATACATTTAAAATGTTTACCTTGTGGTAGAATATTCACTTTTTTGTGTATGTTTACATATTTTGAATTACACAAAGAAAAAACCTTTAACACTGTTTGCTCTTAAGAAAAACTGGATCTTGCAGAAAGAGTTTAATTTCCTAGTGCCAGATTTTCAAAAACATACTTTAAAATGTGATGTAAAAAGCCAAATTGCAGGAAGTAATGATTTAGTTATGTATTTAGCAAACACAATGTACAAACTGGCCCCTGG